GTAATGTTACATCTGAGCATAACATGACTTGATGCAGTTATTTGCTTCCAGGCCATCTAACAGGTTCAATCCTTAATTTAGTTGTGTATATATGCTTAGAAAATTGTTATTATTTTGGGCGACTCTTTTTTACCTACGCATGAAAATTCTGTTATGTTACCGGTATAGTTCGTTATCTCTATCTCTTGAATTTTTAACAAGATAAGTTCAAAACTGAATTTGTGACAATTAACATAGTTTTGGGTTTTAAATTATACAGAGGTTTTGGGTTTTTTTATTGTACAGAGGCAATGAAAAAAGAATCAGATGTAGAAATACATAAACATGCATATTGCAATGATTGTAGGCATTATGCTGCATTACGAATACATCCCCAACACACGTAAAGCTTAAACTTTACGAGGCAAAAGGCATTTAAGGCTAATTCCTAATTTAACAATTTCAGTTTCATGTGCGCTGAATTCATAATTCGTAGACAGCCCACGAAGCTTTGCTTTAATCCACTTCAGAGCAAAGGTTTTCTTTGTCTCTGGTGACAACAAATTAGGAGCATTTGAATCTTAGCAAGCTCTCGCCTCATTTTCATTTGCTCGATGTCGGTTTGGTCGTAGTTTGACAATTATGATTATGACGATAGTAATTGCATACATTTAAGCAAACTTCAGTTTAATTGAATTTCTAGGAGGTAGTTTTCGTTAGTGAGTTAGATGGCGGCCTTTCACATAAGGTTACAAACTCGTAATACTAGACGTTATGTTTGTTTAATAAAGTTAGAAACCATGTTGATATAAATTATTAGGTAATGGTTTTAACAGATTATTCCATTGAATAAATAATCCATTTAATAAGCTTTCGATTATTGTACAGCATCAAAATTTAATGAATTTGCTCTGAAAGAATATTGCGTGTAACTTTTATCTGAAGGAAAGGCTATTTGCTGCTGCCGCCAAGTAGTTTTATTTTCTGATATGGAATCTGTTAGCTGTGACTGGAACAAAGTTTTTATATAAGACAACTTTATGCCATTTATTTAATAATAAAGACGTTGTTTCTAATAAAGTCACCATTTTCAAGTACTTGAAATAACATATACCAAGTACAGTCAAACTTGTGTTAAAGACAACAAACATTCATTGATTTGATCAGACAGAGTAATCCCGAATAAAGACAACTAAAGTCTTGTCTATAATGAAGGCCATTAGTTTGGTCACTCCTGAAGTTGGCCTTTGTTCTTAAGTTTGACTCTTGATGACTAAAGGTTTTCTACCACTTAAGCTTGAAAGCAGGTACTCTTCTATAATAGATCATTTATTCTGTCACTTTTCTATCCCAAGCTGCAAAAGTAGTGAAAATAATTATAACTATATAAACAAAGAAATCAGAGTTCAGATAATCTTAAAAGATTATAGGGTAATAAGAATGATCTTAGTTTTGTTTCACAGTTGATGACCGCTAGTTATCCAGCCTCATTGTCAGGTAATAACATTCATGGTGTGATAAACAAACCTGATATTTGATAAGAAATCAGGAAATCTACTTAAATGTGGATGTTTTGTTAATTTGGACGGGAATGCTTGAACATGGCATTATACCAAAGAAAACATAAAGATGGACTTAACTAAGAGTTCAAGTGATCAGAAAAAAAACAACAAACAAACACCAGTTTATTGAACCAAAAATTATTACAAAGAAAAGCTTTAGTGAGAATCAAGCTTTTGTCTGAATCAGAGTTTTTGTTCAGATTTTCTTTCGTAATATTTTGCAGTCAATTTACAAGACTGATTTACAGTTTGCTGATTTACAAAAGTAAATGTGTTATGATTGATTTGCAATACTGCAATCCTATTGGAACAAAATAATTTCAAACACTAATGCACTATAAATCAAACCTGATTTTCTCTAGGAAATACATACTTAAATGGTAGTGTAACACTTACCAGCAAATATCAGATTTTAAAAGCCCTTGTAGTCTTGATTTGGTTAGAAGCAGTGATTGCTGGGGAGAGGAATGACAGACAAGATAGAAAATTGATCAGACACGAAGCAGGGAAACTGCTTGAAAATGTGTGAAAAGTCTCGGCAAGTCTCTCATGGATGTCTGCAGTTCCATTAGCTTCTGTGGTGAATGTAAAATCATTTAATTATGGTGTTCATAATTAAGCATTTGTTTGAAGTGTTTATTTAGCAATTGGAACAGTCCTTTTAAGGTGTTTAAGAGAATAAGGGGCATGTGAAAGTTAACAATCGATTGCATTTGTGTAAATTCGTTCATTCTTTACAATTTTTATCAACATTTGAATTAATAAAACTTTACAGAGAAAACAGAAATTACACTTAACAACAAATGGGATAACCAAATTACAAAAAAAAAGAAAAAGAAAAAAAAATGGCCAAGAATATCAGTGTCTGTATCAGTGAATTGGTCTTGATCTATCAGTCTTCAGTGATCTCCACGTTTCTGCTCTCATGGTGTGGAGTAACTGCCTGTAAATCTGTTAGTTTGACACCTTTATTATTGGGATAAAATAATAGAAATCATCCAAGAAATTGTTTATGAGGAAAGCATATGTTTCTAGGCATATTTTATAGCTTGTAGGGTCCACACTGTCTAATAGGTGCTGTTTGTAAATTGTTACTATTTAGTGTATGCAAAATTTGCATTACTGGTGATAAAATGTAGTGAATAATTTGTGGAATTTCAAATTATTAAAGAAAGTATTCTAAAGTGTAGAAGATGGAATGACATTTGAGCTATGATAATACAGTGCTTTAAGAAGTAAAAAGTATTATTTTATGTCCCAAAAGAATGAAAAGATCTCTGAATGTAATTGAAGCTTTATGGCTCAGAAATCTGGGGAGATAGAATACATTTTTGTGCATATTTATGTTAGACTTAAATTCGTTTTTAGTTCTTCTTCTTTAAATTGAGTTAGTGTTATGAACAAGAAGATATATGCCTTCTGTATGAAAGAATGTATGTTAATTAAGTGGTGGTAATTTAATGTTCTGTCATTTTTGTTCAGTAAATGCATGCGTTTCTGTACTCAGCCTCAGCTTAGCTCAATAGTAAGAGCATCTTATAATTTAGAATCCAAGGATCGCCTAAGGTTTGGTTTACAGGCAAAGCAAAATTTCTATGTGACAATTGATGATGTTTTCAAAAGTAGAGTTTATTGGTCATTTGTCTCCCACCATTTATTCAGAAATCATGAGAAATTAGTTTTAGGTCACACGCAGAGAAATTGGTAACTACTGGTACTATACTTATCCAGGAAAGTTGGTTAGGTGTATTATGTTACCTACCACCTTCATTATATGAACAACAACAAAAATCCCATATACACAAAGATGCTCTTTGCAAGTAAGAAACAACATGTACAGTGAGTTGGGGATTAAATTTGAAAACATTGGTTATATTGTTCTCTTTATGCTTATCAAAATAATGATTAGTTACTTTGTCTTTTTTTGTTGCAAAAATTCTTCTTGTTAGATATTCTATACAAAAAATATTCAGTGGTTTGATCTGTCAGACTGACGCAGACAAAATCTTCTAGACTTCTGTGAAGGTTTATCATTGTATCTTTGCTGAATAAGGGCTTCTTTGTGCTTTACAGCCAGACATCTGCTCGATTCTTCAAAGTCCTCTTCTACAAGACATTGCTGCAGCGATTGATGTAACAGCCTCCTCCCCTGGAGTGCCTTAAACACCCTTAAGCCATTACATTGAAATGTATAGTTTAAATAAAGATAAAAAAGTTGTTACAAGTCTTTTAATGGGATTTTATCATTTTAGAGATAATACAGTTATCAGGATTCTGATTCCGGAGATAAAATGGTAGTCCCTGAAAGTTTGTTGGTTAAATTGTTGGGGCTGTTGGAAGAAGCACCTGTTATCATGATAATGATCTTTTAATGAAAACATTAAAACTACAAGAACCCCTCTTACTCCATCTGCTTGTGCTGTGACACCTGCCAATACTAGAACATAGATATCAAACTTGAATTTTTTTGGTGTAAGATTTCACAACAATAGTTTTGAAGTCTCTGGCTGCCCGAAAAGAACATAAGGTGTAAAAGAAACACAAGAATTTAGGAATGTATAGATCTTTGTTTGATATACAGTTATAATTCCTGTATGTTCAGAATGTTAAGATCTCCATGTTGTTGTTTTTGGAATCCACCAGGTAATCAGATTGACACTGAATAAATCGATGTAAGATAGTTTGCACTATGTTGATTATATGAGAAACAAGTGGACTAACTTTGTCATGCTCAATGCTTTCAGTTGGTCTCCACGGCCAAGTGGTTTAGGCCCTTGACTTAATTAGAACCACTTGCCCCTCATTGCTGCGGGTTTGAATCCTTCTAGATATTTTAGATTCTTCCATATGAGGAAGCTTATCGACTGTCTTATAAAAGGCTTAAAATAATTAATGTATGGAGGGGCATAAGTGACGTTTTCGTGAACCCATAAAGCTGGAAAGTTGTTATTTAATCTTTACAGAGTGTTGTTTGGACTGAAAACCGCCTTCAAGTTAAAGAGGAGATAAGATCTGTCTGATTGACAGTAAACTAATGGTTTTGGCACAACTTTTACTAGGTTCAATGCTTGATGCATGTCGGTTATTTATTTCTGTCAAATGATAAATAAAACTGCAATGATTTGTTACATCATGGCCAAGAAATTGATGTCTGGGTGGTAAATGACTGTATGATGAGGCCATCTGAATAAAAAACAAAAACAAATAAACAAACATGATTTTTGTCATTGGCTTTTGGTTTGTTTAAATATACAAAACCAAATGCCCTTTGTGATGTTTTATTTTTGACATACTGATTTTATCAAAATATAACTGGAGCTTTGAAACTCTTGAAACAAATGGTGAGGACAAAGGACATACCTTCTACGACAAAGGGCATGAATAATTGTTTTCATATTAATTAATAACATAATTATACTGAGGAAGCATTGATAAATTGTATTATATTTATATTTTCAGAGAGAGCTGTACAGCAGTACAGGATTTGCTGTGTTATGTACAGTGGCCAGTGATACAAAACAGTAATGTTCATGTGAAGCTGCCCACATGTGACAAGAACTTACCCTCCAAGTGGGATATGGAGGAGGATGGTCCGCCATGTACTGATGCTAATCTCTTTGATAAAGATCAAACTGAAGTCACTTGTAAGTAAAAACTAATACTTTGATTGATGATGAAAGTGTTTAAAGGGGCCTGCGTTATCAAATGGCTGAGGTAGCCAACTTCCAAAATCACTTGCTTTTTCTTCATTTGCAGTTGGTTTGAATCTGTAACTGAAATATAAGCCATTGGTTCAAATCCTGATACTGAATTTTTAACCTCTGGTTCATATCCTATTACTGAAGGTTTAGCTTTTGGTTTGAATCAGATTACTGCAGACTAAGCCATTGGTTCAAATCCTTCATTGAAGCTTTAGCCGTTGGTGCAAATCCTGTAACTGACATTTAAGCCATTGTACGGATGGTTTAGCTATCATATCAAATCTTGTTACTGACAGTTTAGCCGCCAGCTCAAGTCCTGTACAAATGATTGAGGTTTCTAGGTCAAGGTCACACTTGGAAGTCAGGAAGAAAAAATAGAATTCTGCAGCAAAATTCCACATACATTGAGGAATTTTAGTAATTTATGTTCACCATTGTGAGCCAGAGTATTGAGCACAAAATTCAGGTCCATTTGACCAAGGTCAAGGTCATTTTTAGAGGTCGAAGGTCAGCAAATAAAGAGTATTGACCATTTAATCATCATGAACTGAAGGATTTTAATGTTAGCCATCATTAAACTGTGAGACACTTGTGATAGGTCTTTTTTAATTGTAAATATTTAGGCACTCATTGTTTTGTATTCATATTTCAATGGTCTGTTTGACCCACACTCAAGTTAAAATTCTTCACGTAACAATTAGAAAATATGTGGTGTGCACCGGCACAAGTAAACTTTAATATTTGAACTAATAAATTATGCTAGAACAAAACCGCGTATTTAGAGATGCATTCATCAAAGCAGATGTAAACGTCCTCGTAATTTAGGGAGTTTCCCATTTATCTAATAGTAAGACATATTATCAAATATTATGTTTGCAAAATAATTTTTGGAGCATATGTTTTTGTATCACTGATGCACATAAATTTGATAGATCGCGAAATATTTCTCTTTGATGTTACTATGCATGTAATCTTTCATGTTACTGTTTAAAAAAAGTTTTTGTCAGTTTTCTATCCATTAGAACAGTCATCTTTTTAATTAATGTTCATTCTATGCTCCATTTCAAAAAAGGCACTGTAATAATTTACACGCATATGTGTGCTGTACTTAATTATATGATCTGTTTTAAAAAGTGCCCAAATACTGTTTTGTTGTCAAAATTGTAAAAATGAAATGTATCCTTAGCTCTTTTTATACAAAATTTGTTGTATGGAAGATAATATAAGCAAGATTTCTAAGGAAATAGCAAGTCATTTTTTGTATTGTTTTATGATAGGCATAACTTGTGCTCTATCAAAATAATCTTGCAGCTAGTTTCCTGTAAACATTAGATAAAATCTAAAACAAACAACACTTTCTGATCTCTACAGGTATTTCCTTGTGTTTTTCTGATAATTTGTCTGTTATATTAATTGTATTGGTTATTAAATGTTTAATTCTTTTTTTTACTTCTAGCAAACTGCTATATGGATCAAGGTCGCTGGTATAACGGCACTGTTAACATGACAAAGTCTGGCAAGCCATGCCAGCACTGGTCTCTCAACTCCCCACAGAAACACAAACGACCCCCAGATGTGTACGAGGAGCTCAGGGACTCGGAGAATTTCTGTCGTAACCCTGGGGCGGAAGAAGAGTCACCCTGGTGCTATATTGACTCTGTTGTCCCCGGGGAGAGATGGGAACTATGTGATATACCAGCTTGTGGTGAGTGTGGCAATATTTTATCAAGGGCTTTGTGCGATATGGCTGTAACTCATTAAGAAATTAAGAAGGAGTTGCAACATTTTTGCACCAGAACTACATTGTTGGACTGACTATTATTCACCTGCTGAATGATTTTGTACAATGGATTTTCCCTGCTTTGAATTTGGAAAAGTCCATTCAAAGTTTTAGGGTTTTCAATATCAAAACATAAAAATTGAGCTACAAACAATATAGAGCCTGGCTAAACTGCATGGATGGGCAGGCTGGCCTGGATGAGACTATACTGGTTGGTGGCAAAGGCAAAATTTGCAGCAAGTTATAGATTAAGAAAATGATTCATGCATACAAAATACAGAAAACTTGTATATAACAATATTACAATGAAATACAATGTTAAATTGAAATGATATTGTAACAATGAAATTTGGACCTAATACAGTTTAAGAAGTGGGAGGCTGTTCAGATTGGGTTCTGCAGGTCAGCTTACTTTTCTACCTAGCATGTGCAGGTATACACATAAATACCCTAACAGGAGTGACAAAACAAAGAAGATGTTGCAAATATGCATAATTTAGATCCTTATGAATTAAGCACTACATTTGATATATCTTGTCCCTCTTTAGAAATTATATAATTATACAAGTTGTAATTTAAAGTTAACATGCCTTGACTAATAGACAAAAAAGAAAATCAAATTTATAAAGGTGAATAAGTTCCTGCGTTGAGACTTCTGTTGTAATTCTGTAGTATAGGTTTAAAACAAACAATTTGTGAGTTATAAATAACCTGGCTGGGGTTGGTACAAGTGGTTTTCTTTGTTGTACTATTAAAAGCAAGGAGAGAAGTAGAGTAACAAAGTGTAATTGGCAATTAATTATCTCAGAATGATGGATTCTGTAAGTAAGCAGCCAGTCATGATGCACTCCAGAGTTGCCAACTGTACTAAACAAAAAATACGGTAATGAAATGTATAGACTGTATGTGTGCAATAATTACTTAGTTCAAGGCAAACTTTACAAAATGCAGTATTGTTTATACTAGGTAGATTAAGTATATAGTATTCGATTCATTGTGTAAATTTATTGTTTCATTAGACTCACTAAAAAGCGCTAATTATGATCCACTTTGGCCCGGCTTTGAGGTCTGTGTCTTTTGTTTCGATAGACTCACTAAAAAGCGCTAATTATGATCCACTTTGGCCCGGCTTTGAGGTCAGTGTCTCTCACCGCGAGAATTGTGAGTTCAAGTCCTTTTGAGGTTTTAGGTTCAGGTTTCTATGCCTGAGGCTTGTATGAGAACAAATCAAGGAAGCTAACTTTATAGTTATTGAAATAACGGTAATGTTATCTTTAAAAACGTGTTTTTAATAAAAGATGACGTTCTATTAAAAAGAATATTGTCAAATGTATTTATTATAATGAATATTTTAAAATGTATTTATACTTGCAGGGGAAGAGAGGGAAAGTTCAGAAGAGAAAGAGTCTATGTCATGGTCAACTATTCTTATCGTCACAATCGTGGGCTCTGTTGGTGTGTTCGTCCTCGGTTTTGTGGCTATCGTCTGTTACCACATTGTGTCAAACAAGCAGAAAGCCATCAGGTATAAAAACACGCCACAGGATGATCTAGAAATCGACATCCAGAAATTACCTGCAAACATGTCATATCATGTCGTTGAGGAGCCAATCAGATTGAATCCGAAACTACAAGCGTTTGAATATCCGAGAAATGACATCGTGTATATCAAAGATATTGGTCAAGGTGCATTTGGTCGTGTATTTAAGGCTAAAGCACCGAATATAATAAAACACGATGAAGAAGTGTTTGTTGCTGTGAAAATGCTTAAAGAAGATGCTTCCGATGACTTACAAGCAGACTTTGAACGCGAAGCATCGCTAATGGCGGAGTTCGACCATCCAAATATAGTGAAATTTTTAGGGGTATGTGCAATTGGTAAACCTATGTGTTTATTATTTGAATTCATGAGTAAAGGTGATCTGAATGACTATCTACGGATTTGTAGTCCGGAAATGTATATGAACATTAGAAAAAATCATACATTTCAGTTGCGTGAAGGTGAAAAGTTATCATTAGACTTAATAGATATGATAGATATTTCGCAACAAATTGCCGCGGGAATGGTTTACCTGTCGGAAAAATGTTACGTCCATCGAGATTTAGCTACGAGAAATTGTTTAATTAGTGATAATTTGACTGTAAAAATCTCGGACTTTGGTCTAGCGCGTAGTGTACATAGGCTAGAATATTACAAGGGTAGCGATAATGACGCCATCCCTATAAGATGGATGCCGTTAGAATCAATTCTTTACAATAAGTTCTCGGTGGAATCCGATGTGTGGTCATTTGGCGTGATTCTGTGGGAAATATTTTCATTTGCTTTGCAGCCGTATTACGGCATGACGCACGAGGAAGTGGTAGAATATTTAAAAGAGGGGAAAAATTTAGTGTGTCCCGAGAACACGCCACAACAAATCTACGATCTGATGTTAAAATGTTGGAGTAGGAAACCGTCACATAGACCACGATTCCAAATGTTATATAATTCTATAAGTGCTTTTCACGGAGAATTGACGAAAAGAACAAAAGACACGAGTGAAGTTTGAAATGTTATATTGGAAACATTATCATAGAAACATGTGCATTCAGCGCTGCCAAATTTGTTATTGCAAAATGAAGGTGTTTTAGGCGAAAATGTAAAATTTGATATAATATATAATTATGCTTGCTACCCAAGTAAGAAAAGTTAAGTTTTATTGTGTTTCTAAAAATCAAACTATAAAAAATACCCCGAAACATAAGAAAATTGATATGAAATATAATTATATTATTTAAGATAGATGTTTACTATGTTTAAATGTATTTATATTTTTGTTTAAGAAACTTAACGTGTTTTAAGTATCGAAACATTCTCAGCGGGTAGAAATACAAACATTTAGGCAGATACTTATTTATAGAATGCAAAATGAGTTGGAAAATGTTTTGATTTTTTAAAGATAGTGCCTTAAAATGCATCTACTTAACATTACCTGAGTTATATACACAAGATAATGTATTTCTGTAAAGTTTTTATCAGTATTTGTTACGTGAAAAATAATCTTTGCCGTCTTCATTCAATAATTCGAGAAAATTTCAGGGATCATTTATGTAATCGTATTCAATTTTCATATTCTGCACTGGAAACTCGAGATTTATATATATATATAAAAAAGAAATCTGGGAAAACTTTACCTACACACTTACTTTCTTGTAGCTTTGAGATAATAATTATTCCCTCGGTTAACGGTTTTTGCAACATCATGAATAATTTGTTGGAAATCCTGCACTTCTTATCGGCTAATATGTCACCTTACGCGCAAAGTCTGGCATTTTTGCTCGTTGATAAGGGATCCTGCTACATGGTTTTGCACATTAACTGACTTTTAGTGCAGTTTTGTTATTTTTTGTCAACGTTCACATTTTCTTAAATATATGATATATTCACAGAAAATTTTAAACAGCAAATTTATGTACTCTTGTAATTAAGTGCAAAAAAAATAATGCGAGTAAACATGCAAGATTTGAATTGCAGATTTTCTTCCTTTTAGTTAAGAAAGAAGACGTTTTTTAGAGCCAGATTGGTTATTTTTTGTATTAACGGTATGAAAAAAGTTTTTGGTATTATACATGTACATTTCAGACAAATTGCTAATGGAAAGACAACAGTTTCTTGTAGTCAAAATAGAATCTCTTTGAAAGAGATATTTTTTAGTACCGTATTTTAAAGCTCAGTATATTTGTCAAAATAAAGAAAAGACTTGATGATTAAAGTGAATTGGTCTATAATTGGAGGTCTGTAATACAGTAAGTAATAATGCTGATAGTATTAAATATCAGACATAACAACAACAACATAACAACAAACAATTAAAGAATTACATAATTTTATAAGTGTGAAATAACATAACATAGATATAACATAGAATAACATACATTATATAGCAGATAATACTGATCAATACATTTCTATTGTTTTTATCAGTATTTTAAATTCTTATGAAAAAATATGCCCATTGTAGACCAATCCCCTTTAATGAATTATTCATTTTGATAAACGTCAATTTCTTCTGACGAAGACTAAAATGTCAAAAGCTAAAGAAATGCGTTTGTTTTCATTGAACTGATTATATATCATGAATTGAAGAAATACCGCAACATGACATCGAGTACACATTATATTAGAAAAAACATTATAGATCTGGTAATAAAAACGTATCAATGCATTTACTGTATCATGACAGGTGAGCGTAGAGAGATATTTCAGGAACTTTATAAAAGCTCAAAGTTTGTGATGTTTATAACCCTGCATTATTGTCTCATTTTGTTTTGTGTGTTTAAAACATTTGAGCCGTGTCATGACAAAACCAACATAATGGGTTTGCGACCAGCATGGATCCAGACCAGCCTGCGCATCCACGCAGTTTGATCAGGATTCATGCTGTTCGCTTACAAACCCTATTACAAGTAGAGAAACTGAAAGCGAACATCATGGATTCTGATCAGACTGTGCGGATGCACAGGCTGGTCTAGATCCATGCTGGTCACGAACCCATTATGTTGGTTTTGTCGTGACGCGGCTCATTTCTGTAATCATTTTAGTTTTGTGTAAATTATATACAACATCTTTTTCGCCAAATTTACCCAACCCCAAACTTTTTCGCCTATTTCCCCACCCCCATCCCCAACCCCCATCTCATTATAATGCTCATTTGTAAATAGTTGACTGCATTATATATTGTTGTATACACCTGTGAAGATGAGAGTTACATGTATTTATTTATTGTTGTGTGATGAAATTTCGTTGATGTATTTTTGAGTTAATTGTACTGAAACTTTTTAAAGTCTTATTAAAATATATTATAATTAAGTGTAGAGTCTTCGCACACTTCATAGTTGTGTAGGCCAGTCTTTTACTGTGATCAGAATTTATACTGCAGTGGCACAGTTCTGTTATTTCTGCCATTACTACACTAAAAATTTTGAGTTAAAACAAAACAAACTTATTGTCCGATATATCATGTTAAAATCTTTTTAATATGTATTTTCAATGTTCCCTACTACAAGTATTGGTACCCGACCTCACAGTCTTGGTCTCGCCAGTCTTGCAAAAGTTAAAAAAAAAAATTTTTTTATTTCAAACAGTTGATTTCGAAGGAACTATTTTTATGGTACCTTTGTTAAATGGATTACCTATTTGTATCCCTTGAACTATTTTTAATTTTTATACAAGAACTTCTATTTTGTGATCCTGTTTCTCAAAAAAAAAAAATGTGTTTAAATCTTGTATTTTTAAATGTTTTTGAAAATATGTCTTGTCAAATTTGATTTCGACCAAAATGTTTTGTACATCCTATACTTACACAATTCTTTTTAGGGACCACTTATTTCATGTGACTCATCATTTATATCACTTAGTGAACTTCTTTTCTTCTCTTATTGTGAAATAAAGGTAATAAACAAAACACGTTTTCATGGCAATAAAATGTTTGCATCATATATAAATATTGCGTAAAGTTTGTTCAAACTTTTTTGTTACGTTGAAGGTTTACATGGGGGAAAGGGGAAAAAAAAATCATTTGAAACAATTGAAGAAATTTAAGTAGACATATTTTATAGGTTTTTAAGTTCTCATCAAATAAAGAATAAATCATTGGCGTACATAAAAATTAGGGGAAAAAAAGAGTGAAAAAAAATCAAAACAAATTAAATTATAATAAAAACTTGTGAAATTTTTGTATTTTTATTATTTCAGAGATTTTTAACAATTATTCTACAAAATTTTTGCTGTATTTATATAGACAGACATTATTATATACATCTTGAAGTAGAATTAAGTTGAATTGTCTTTTTCGAGTGCTTCCACTTTTTTCACATCAGGTGATGGGAGGGGCAATTTTTGAAATATTTGGACCAAGTATGTGTTATACTGAAGTTGTAATTTTCATTTTCAATTTTATTATTCCTATGTTATAAACAAAAGAATCAAGAATAAAGATTTTTACACGAATGAAACAAGAATCAAATATCTTTGTATTCAAGGGCCTTCATCATTCAGGTGGTCAAGTACAAATCACTTGCCCTCATACTGCTTGGGTACGAATCCCGTCAGGGACTTCTTATTCTTTCATGTGAGGAAGTTATCTTGGAAGGTTACTTGAGGTAATTGATGGTACTCTGGTGCCCGCTAGTACATAAAGCACCCTAGTACTTTGAAAAATATTTGAAGGGGCACCTGATATTTTCTTGCACCAGTAAAGCTGGAAAGTCACTGTATGACTTTTACGGGGTTGAGACTTAAAATCTAACAAAACAACCGAACAAACAATATTTAAGCTTATCATTGCCTCTAATGATGTAATACTATGGTCCTTCCTTTAAGAGTAAAGGATTTAGGGACCATTTAAGTGGGATTCAATCTTCATCACTAAATGCGCTGAAATCATTGATCCTGAAAGACCAAAAAAAACATTTAGCGGCACCCGTAATAATTATGTCAGTCACAAAATATTCATACAATAATGTAGATAAAAAACATTATATAAAGGAATCATTTGCATTAATGATACTTTTTATTAATTTGAAAAAAAATAATGTAGAAATGATATATAAGAAGTTTTCTATCAAAGACTTGAATTGTTCATTTAACCACACAGAGAAATGTAAATCTCGACAAAGCTGTAATATCTTGATTTAATAATAACCGAAACATTTGGAATATCTTTGTTTTTGTGGTTGACTGATAGCATCAACAGGAAGGAAACGTATCTCAAAACAACTTGGTATGAAATATAAAAAAAAGATATTTTTTAGATATTTTTTATTCTGTATAACTGTAACTCAGCAGGGGTTTGTTTAATGAAAAAGATAAAAACATCGATTAGATGGAACGATTGGGCCGTTCATTCATGAATAAGTCATTAGCTAATATTCTGCGGGGAGAGGATGATAGAGATTGCTGACGGTCCTGCGGTCCCTCGTTCCACGAGATGTAGATATAGTTTCGATAGGGACGTATATTACAGGGTAGGGAGTCTTTGATAAGATTACGTCTGTTGTAGCTAAGTATGTAAAAACAATTTTCTAAGAATTCCCGAGTAAATTAAGTCAAATATTACTGGAGATTTCATACAAGATTTTGGAAAATGATGTTTTAAAAGTGCCTGTGTGGAAATCGTTAACATGAATATACATTTGAATGCCATGTACCTAATGTTAAACATGATTAATTTTTTTATGACCAATGATATGGAATATGTACAAGATATTTAAATGGGGAATTTTAATTAAACTTGTACAATACATTGCAATGTTATTGTGCTCTTAAATTTGTATCCTGTGACAATAGTCATTGAAAAAGTCCCATGAGAATATAAATTTGATTAAATTGTGACTTTTAGATAGCTGGAAGAGTCATATAGCAGGAAATCTATAAAATCAGCAAAATTTCCAGGCAATTTAATATCCGCAGCCATTTCCTTGCAATTTAAGATTCGCAGTTATTTCCATGCAACTTAACTTTAGTAGCCTTTGACTTTTAACTTATTTATCTCCACTGTTACTAAAGAAAAAGTATTTTGTTATAAAATAAGATGTTAGTAAGATGAAAAAAACTAGTAGCATTATTCTAAAGTGCATAAAATGCACATAAAATCTCTTGATTTATTTGTTGCTGAGCTGTTATTTTCCTGTCAAAATGTATTTTATATTTATATCATCTTTAGAATTTTCAAGCATAGCACAGAATCTTTATTATTTATAAGATTGTTGAGAAAA